ACTCACCCGCTTCAGGTGCAGCTCCCGGAACTTGCGCAGTCTCTGCTCGCGCTTCTGGGCGGACAGCTCCTCCGCCGCCGCGAGGGGCTGCTCCTCCTGCGCGCTGCTCGCCAGCACCTGCGACAGGGAGGGGCGGCGGTTGGCCGGGCTGGTCGGCTTCTCCCGGGGCTGCCCAGGCCGTCCCCGCCCGGCCCGACCAGGCCGCGCCGGGCCCGCACTGCCGACCCCGACTCCACAGCGCCTACTCCTCCCTGTCCCAGCACCCAGGCATCTCCTCCACCTCTCGCCCCTGTCGGCCCCTGTGAGTCGCCCCCACGAAATCCCCTGGGTAGAGCCGGCGGCACTTACCTTCTCGGTTAGAACCGCAGCCGCCATCACAACCCTCTCCTTCCCACTTCCGGCAACAACACAGCACTTCCGTCGGCCTTCTGATTGAAGTTAATAACCTACGATAATCCCCGCCCCTTCCTGGCAGCCTCGGAAGTTGGGACCAATCCCTGCTCTTTCTAGCAGTGAGCCGGTTTTCGATTGGGCAGGGCCTTGCGCAGCCGCAGAAGACAGTGGGGAGGGCGGGGAGGTGGGGAGAGAAGGGCAGGAAGCGCGCGAAGGGGACGGGAAGGAAGAAAGGCCGACTGCGGGCCTGGTAAGGAGGTCACCTCCGCTGCGTGTTGCTCCCTGGGGCGGACAGTGCTTATCCTGACTGTCAGCTCGCCCCTGACTGCCTTGTCTCACGTGCGCTTTCAGTACCGTCACAGATGGCCCCGTTTTAATGTTCTCAAGAGCGTAAGAGATTTCCCTTTGTTCATTTTCCGTTTCCCGCGTCAGCGTTGTAAACAAGGAGCGCAGAAGCGTCCATCTTGTTTACTCTGCGTCTCCAGCAGGGAAACTGTGCGTTAAGTTAATAAAAGTAAGGTGCTGAATACAAGAGGAATATATGAAAATGATTATTTTCTGCACTAATAACCACTAATTCGATGTAGAAATGAGTAAGTAAGCCCCCAAATGAAAAGATACCTAAGTATAAAATTTAAACGGTAACAGGAAGAAAAGCAGAATGTGAGGTACGAAAAAAATTAAGTTTGAATAGGTGAAGGGTTTTCTGGTTCGAAGAGAATATAGAAACGTATCCCAAAAGGAGTCTCTAAAGCAGTTTAATGTTCCCATCAGAATCTCAGTGGGTTATTCTTTCTGTTTGGAGAACTGTACATTAATGGCACAAATCCAAAAGCTCGGCCACACCTGTATTGGTGAGACTGGTAGGACTGAACATCGGTGCAACCCCTAGGGCTCAGCTTCGCGTGTCTTGCTGGGCGGTTCGGGGAGAAGCCGGCCCTCACGCCCGCAAGTGCCGGTGGGCGGCTCAGAGGAGGAGAGCCCCTGAGGGCAGCAGTTCCGGGACAAAACCTGCCAGGAGGCCAGGCCCCCTGCGCGTTTGTCCATATGTGACTATCATTCGGTGGCATCTACAATCCTCTCAGGTACCTAAACAGTGACATTCATCCTTTGAAACTCCTGTTTCAAACCAATCCCAAGGGACGTGCTTATAGCACACAGTCCTTGAATAGTCAGTCAGTGTATCCCTCTGGCCTTCTTATTCAAGAACAATTGCTTTTCCATCCTTACCACATTGTCCCCTGAAGCAGTAAAGTAACATTTAAAGATATAATACAGTTGAATACCTCATCTCCTCCCCCTACAATAAAATCCAAAAGTCTGCTATGAATGGCCTTATCATACAAGTAACATCTATTTGGGTTTATTTCCATCCCTGTGCTAACTTGATTTGTCCTCATGGTAGAATGAAGTTTGAAAATTAAGTCACCAAGAAGTTGTGGGGGAGATTACCTGCAAAAAAAGCTCTTGTGGAATGAGAATTTCAGGAAAAAAAGAAAAAGAAATACAATTCATACCATCCTCATAAGCTATAGCTCCAAATATTGTGTTTTGTTGAGGCAGTGTACACTCAAGCTTTCTGGCTCTGATTCCTCATCTGTAGCTCAGAAAACTGAGAATAAAATATGTAAAACATTGAGAACAGTACCTGGTACTGGAAATGCACTCTAGCCCCAAAATGGTAGCCACCCACCATATGACTATTGATTACATGAAATGTGGCTAGGGCAAATTAAACTGTGCTTTAAGTGTAAAAATACACACTAGGTCACAACACACACACACAGTGTAAAATATCACAGTATTTTTTTATTTAAATAACTTTTTTACTTTCCTTCTCCAGATAGGAAGCCTACAAAGTTTATTATGCTTTATCAGGAAAATACAAGGTCAGTCTTGCCTAAGAGGCCTTGTATTTCAATTCCCCGGGCCAGAAACTGCTACTGGACAGACTGAAACAAGCCAAAGGGAAGATCCAACTATAATCAATCTACTTTATGACCAATGGCACACAGGGTTCCAGACCTCCTCCATTCTTCGGATTCTATATCTATTCACCTATGTGAGCATGGGCACTTAGGAGAAATGTGCACATCACTTCAATCATTTCCCCACTCCTGGATTAATCTTGGTCCACTCAGAGTCGGCTTTCTGCCAACAGTAAACCCAGAGATCAGGAGGCCGAAGGTTCTCAATGTCTACACAGGGTTCTTTTGGAGGCCCAGCAACGACCCTTTCCTTCAAGATCCATTCAGTACCTTTGGATCATGCTAACCACACACAGTAATTACCCCAAGTTCCCGAGGCCGGATGACATCAGATGAGGATGAAGCCGGGACCAAGCCTGCTCGAGAGAAGGCGAGGTGGATGCCTCACAGCATTCCTTATATTGTGTTGAAATATTTTAGATATACTGGGATAAATTAATTTACTGGTGTGAATTAATACCGTATTTCTGTTGGACAGCACTGAATCTAGACTCTTAATACAAATTCTCATCTTGCCATAGTCATGCAATGCATAACTGTTTCAGTTCATGATGGAATGCAAATATAAAGGGTGGTCCTATGAAATTACAGTGGAGCTGAAAAATTCCTATTACCTAGGAAAGTAGTCATTGTAGCAAAATACATTACTCAGGTGTTCCTGGTGAAGCTGTGTAAACAAACCTAGTTAAGTATAGCACAATTACATACAGTACATAATATGTAACAAATGATTGTTACTGATTTATGTATTTACTTTTTTTCTATTTTTTTTTTTTTAATGTTGCTTTTTAGAGGAAAGGAGAGAGAGAAACACACCCCCCACCAAGAACTGAGCCCACAGTCTGAGCATGTGCCCTGACCTGCAGTCAAACCTTGACCTGTTGATTCCTGGGTCAACATTCAACCAGAGCCACACCAGCTGTGCTACTGGAAGTGTACTCTTAGTTTGCTGTAGAACACTAGGCCACGTTACATCATGTTTACACTCTTGGTTGCATTTGTTCGTGTGCTTGATTTCTAGCCCAGGAGCAATAGGCTAGACCAGTGGTCAGCAAACTCATTTGTCAACAGAGCCAGATACCAACAGTACAACGATTGAAATTTCTTTTGAGAGCCAAATTTTTTAAACTTAAACTGTATAGGTAGGTACATTGTTATTATCTTAATTACGGTACTCCTAAGGCTTAGGAAGAGCCACACTCAAGGGGCCAAAACGCTGCAGGTGGCTCACGAGCCGCAGTTTGCTGACCACAGGATACCATCTAGCCTAGGTGTGTAGGCTGTACTATCCAGGTTTGTGTAAGTGCCCTGTTTGCACAATGATGAAATCGGCTAACTACCCATTTCTCAGAACATGTTCCAGTGGTTGAAGCAGCACCTGACTGTATTGTCCACAGATTAGATGGTAACAGGGTATCACACTAATTGTATCCCAATTATGTAATGACAGCTTGTATACGAAGAAAACATGGTAAAAAAAATATGGTTTATAGGAAGACGAGTTACAAACTGTTTTCATAACCAGCATCAAAATTACTATATAGAACCAAAATAAAAAAATTAGTCTGAAAAAGAAACGTTTTTAACAAAAAAATTATTGGGGAAGGGGTTAAAGTATAGGAGAGATTAAACATAGTCCTGGCCAGGCTGAACTAGTAAGGTTAAATTAGACAAGGATGGGGCAATTATGAGAAAACAACAAATATAACTATATTCTTTTCAGGGTACTGGGAAGAGAAAATGAATAGACTAAGAGAAAATTAAATAGGGAAGTCTCAAGCATATTAAGAGGCTGAAGTCTACTTCAAAGCTAATGGTGAAGGCAGTTGAGATCACAGAAGTGCAATCTCAGAAGTGGCACATATCCACAGCAACTAGCCAGACCTCTCATCTGTTAAACAGCTATTTGAATGTAGGTCATAATCAGATTGGGTACTTTCCATTACCAGCTAAGTGACATGTAATTTTACTAAGAGACCAACTAATACCAACAGGATGCTCAGGTTAACCATATTTTCAGTTACAAATCTTAAAGCCAACCCTTATTTTCTCTGACTTTACTGTCTAACCAGGCCAATGCCCACCATGTTCTGCACACACCTCCTGGTGGTCAGCACACATCATAGTGACCAGTTATTCCACTGTACAGTCTATTTGCATATTAGGGTTTTATATATATATGCTAGAGGCCTGATGCACGAAATTCATGCAAGAGTAGGCCTTCCTTCCCCTGGCTGCTGGCACGGGCTTCCCTCTGGCACCTGGAACCAGGGCTTCCCTCGCAGCCCCAGCTTCATCTGTAAGGTCGTCCTGAAGGATGTCCAGTCTAATTAGCATATTACCCATTTATTATTATAGCTATAGACTAGTGGCCCTGTGCATGCACATTAAAAGGGAATTAGAGTTAATATTTTAATATTGCTATTTGCCCTTTCTCTATAATAGAAGTGTCAAAGATGGAAGAAAATTGGTAAAATGTATATGAAAATCTCCCTCCTGTCAGAGTCTGGGGCGCACCATGGGACCCAGAGTCAAGTCCACACCCAAATGCACCTCAAAATCCTGCAAGACCCAGACCAGGCTGGCCCTGCCTGCTGGCCCCACCCTGGCAGGGCGGGGAGCTCAGCCTCAGGTCCCCTGGCCCAAGGGCATGACAACCATTTGCATGTTAGCTCTTTATATATAGGATGGCCAGTGCATGTCATGGCAGCTCCTGCATTGAGCATCTGCCCCCTGGTGGTCACTGCACATCATAGCTACCGGTCAGACTGACGGACACTTAGCCTTTTATATATAATAAAGCGAGACTAAAATAGTAAAAACAAGAAATTTATTTACAAATATATATACACAATAGTTTAATTACTGTTTCTTATAAATTCCATTTCTATGGTAACCAATTGATATTATACAAAACATTTACAAGTATATATACAAGACTCCCACCTGTACATAACTCTGGTCCATCTGTGCTATCTGCAAAATAAATCTAAGATGTTAACAATTACCACTGAGTTGCTCATAATGCCACAGAAAGCACAAACTTGCAGTAAAGTGCATTTCAAGCAATCTTAGCCATCAGTTCTCTTTTTAAATAGGTTTCCACAATTCATATGGACTTTTTTTCTGATTTATTTTTAGGGATCCTGAAGAGGTCTCTTCAGCAGATTTCTGTAAGAGAATAAATTTTCAAGTCAGCTTCCCAGACACATATATATTGTACATACTTAAAATATTTGCTTTTCACAATGCATTAAATAATTCCATTTAAGACTGAAATTTAAGAGACACCAACCAAATCCCAAGTGTGAACCTCATCTGTAACCTCACTCAAACTTAGGCCAAGAAACTGCCAAGTATAATCAAACATATGCAGGACATATTACAATTGTGAGGTGTTAAAAAGGAGGACAAGACCTAGCCGGTGTGGCTTAGTGGATAGAGCATCAGCCTGTAAACTGAAGGGTCCCAGGCTTGATTCCAGTCAAGAACACATGCCTGGGTTGCAGGCTTGATCCCAAATGGGAGGCGTGCAGGAGGCAGCCAATCAATGAATGATTCGCTCACCATTGATATTTCTCTCTCCCTCTTCCTTCCTCTCGCAAAAAAAAAAGGGGAGGGGGGGGAGAAATGGGACAAGCCCTGGCCAGTGTGGCTCAGTTGTGTGTCTTCCTATGCACCAAAGGGTTACCCATTCCATAGGAGATGTGCAGGAGGCAGCCGACTGATTTCACTCTCACATCAATGTTTCCCTCTTCTCCTCCCTCCTCTCCCCTCCCTTCAATCCCTCTCTGAAAAGCAATGGAAAAATATACCTTAGGTGACCTGAGAATTACAACTGTGGGTGTGTGTGTGTGTAGATACTAAGTCTATAAAGTGACTTTAGTAGGCCCCCAATTATCACAGCAGACAAAACAATGAGTCTTCCAATAAAAAAAAAGCCCACATAACAATGTTCCAAGTCCAATTTTTGAGTAGTCAGTGGTTAGATACTTACATTAGAGCTAATGCTTTTTTGCTGGGAAGACTTTTCATTGGAATTTTTAGTTCCATCTTCTGTTAGCTTTCCGGATAGCTAGACAGGAAGAGAAGATATATATTCTTAAAACCGTATTTTTGGTTTAGAGTACTGTATACAACGCAGCCCAACTGCATATAAATTTAGCTGTAGAGACACAGCAAATCAAGTTGGATCTAACCATACAGCTAGTAGTATAAACACTGGAATGTTTTTCCCGTTAACAAAATTGATACAATAAATGGATCTGATGAAGACAGGCTTCCTCCCCATAAAGCTGTATTGTATTCCCAAATACAAGTTAACTCTGAAAGTCAAGCCATACCAGAAAATACCTAGTTACAAAGAACTAAGCTGCGATTTTAAACCAGTGTACTTCAAGAATTTCTACAACATGCAATACCTGACTATTTATTTAGTCAGGGGCACTGATCTCTTTTCCCTTTTATTTGGCAACAGCCAACAAAATAGCCATTTGATGTGAATGTATCAAAATTATACCTTTTAAATCATATCAGCAAAAAAATATATATTTTGGTGTGCCACAGAATTTTATTAATTATAATTTATGTGTGCCATGAGATGAAAGAGGTTGAAAATCGCTGAACTAAGGCATTAGCCCAGTTGTCGAAAAAGCAACTAGTCACCTGAAAAAGCAACTCAACTAAGATTTTGTCTACTACTAATAAAGCATACCCACAACTGGGTCGGAATGATAGGATTATCTAGGTAATATCTTTCCTGTTTACATAGACTATCAATTCTTAACTACCTTAAACTTCAAAGCTATGGTTTTATGCTCTGGGTTTCAACATAACTTAAAGAACAAAGTGCAATTTGCCAGTGCACATCCTGCACATTTCTGTATAATTATAAACTTATCTGCAAGTGAAGCAGGCCTCTTCTTCTGTAATCTCTCAAAACATCTGGAATATATTGCATATATTATGAAATGGACATCCTGATCACAGATGCCCCAACATTACAAAGTGCACTTTAGTTTAAAACTGTCTTCAGTATCTTATCCAAATAGTACCTATCCCAAATTCTAACATGCACATGGATCTACCAATAAAAACTAAGCTTTCAGTGTGTGAATATAAACTTCAAATTAGTTAAACCTCTGATGCTTATGCCCATGTATCAATTACCAACAGATTTTCTTCAGCAATGTCTGGAGACCACATTCATGATTTCTATAAGACAGAAATAAAGCAGGTAAACTATACTGTATGTTGAGTACAGAATTTCTGGGAATATTATGCTGCAAATGAAAACTACAGATACTCTGTAAAGACGAGTTAGAAAAATTTGGTAACTACATAGAAATCACCAAAGTACCAGCTACAATCATGAAAGCAATTCTGTGTCAACTGAAAATAATGGTCAGTAATCTCCCACTTTTATGGAAGAGACTAAATCTAGTGATGTCAGA